ACTAGGAGATGCAGGGTAGGAAGCAGCGAGTCTTGCGGACTCAAACACAGCGACCACCATCCACCTAGATCATGATCAGAAAAGCAATATGGAAGCAGAGGTAGGCTGATCACCTCTAGCTCGACTCCAGTGATGAACTCTGCCTCGTCACTAGCAAGGAAGCTGCACGCATTTGCAACATCCGCCGGAATGGAGGGGCGCCCCAAGGGTATAGTCGGTACGAAAGCCGCTCTGTTTTCTTCTGTGTCCGGCCTGCCGAGAAAGAGATGTGTTCTTGACAATGAGCATGGCAATTGGCATAGGCTCTGAAATTCACTATTGCTTACTCACAGTCCGGTGCTACCAATGACAGGGCACGCGCAGTTGAACCTGACCTTCTTGGGTCCATACTCGACGGCCATGGTCTTGGTAGCAGTGCTAACAGCAGCTTTGGATGCATTGTACCATGTCAGACCCGGACGAGGACGAATGGCGGCAGTGGACGAGATTTGGATAAAGCAACCAGGGCGGCTGTTCTGCATAAAGTATGGAATGATGACACTGGTGGACAGGAAGATTGACCTGACGTTGACGTTCATGCACAGCTCAAACTCGTCATCTGCGACTTTTTCAGTAGGCTTGTTGCGGTATGTTGAACCTGCGTTATTAATCACAATATCAAGCTGTCCATACTCTTCCAGAGTCGCCTGGAGGAGTGCTTCCCAACTGTCTCGCCGAGTCACATCTGTGTAGATGAACCTAGTCTTCAGCTCAGCTGCGACTCGCTCACCATTTTCTCTTGAGATACCTGCGATGATCACTTTAGCTCCTTCCTGGACAAACTTCGATGCGATTCCGTGGCCAAACCCTGACACTGACCCAGTAACAATAGCAACTTTGTCTTGTAGCCGCCCGACACTGGTGGCTGCAGCCATGTTGAAACTTCTCAAACGCAGCAATTGTTAAGTACGATTCAGCCGGTTAGACAGGGTAAAACTATGGCAATGTATCTTTAACAGAGACGTGTGCTATATGGTGCGGGGGGTTGTGCCACTCCGGCCGCAGACGGGAGGTTTAAACTCGCGAGGCCAGGTCACTGGCTGGTTCACAGATCCAGCCATAGGAAGTCCAGCATAAGTGGAAACAAAATTTTAATTCAATCCATGGATGACTCTTGATTCGCAGCAATGATATACAGTCTCACAGCTTCTCCGAGCCTGGCTTGTACGGACGGGGCTGTCCATTAAATTCAGAGCATTGGCTGCAAGTATTTAATTGAGGCTGCACAGTGCATTTCCGGCTAGGCAACTCCAGATTCAAGATTGAAATGCTGAATAGCCATGTTACGGGATGAACTTGTGCTGATGATCCCAAGGTTCATGCGTGCAATTGCCGCCTGTCATGCCTCAGCACGGACCATGCACCAAGCACATCCACCACCGGGTTCATCCGTCCCTTCTTGTGGCTGGGTCTTGTCTTGCCCATCAAACTACTATCCACCCACAAAACTTCTTTCTCCGCATCACAGGCTGGTGCTTCACTTCACTACTGTGCTCTGAGATTTGATTAATAACAGTCCCTTACCTTTTCTTTCAGATTCTTGGACTTTGAACAGACCTTCTTTCATTCTGCCACCCCTCCCGTCCGTCATCCGGCCTTCCAGCTCTGATCTGATCGGCTCCTGTGCCTTGACCTCAAGACCGACCAGTGAGACACTACTCTAAATGGGGATCTGCTCTTCCTGCCTTGGGGCTCGCCGCCAAGATCATAGCTATGTAAGTTCTATGTTTTTCTGAAGCCCCTTGGGCTCCGAAGAACCAGTCCGCTCTCTCAAGCGTTGGGGTCAGACCCGAAGTTCCTCGATGGGATGCTAACCACCCTCACCCCTTCAGCCTGAGTCCTCACGGTTGATCGACGACGACATCTACCAACCTGGCTATGGCTATGGGACCTTGAGCCACACCCAGCAGGTCCACCAACCTGACCCCGGATATGTAAGACGAGAGCGCGAAGCACTGGAAGCTATCTGCCAACGGACTTCCGAGTGAGTATCCCACCACACTTGTCTCCGACCAATCTGGAAAGAAAGATTGAAATTAACATGCTGTCGAAAACCTAGCTCCGTCATCGACATCTGGTCCCTCCAACCACAACCCCACCTCCAACCACAAGCAACCCTGCACAACTCCGTCTCGTCCGCCTCATCCAAGCACCGAGAACCCTCCATCATCGTGAAAACACTCGACCCAGATGCACACGATGATGCGACTTTGGCAAAGCACTCCAAGCATTGGGGCGAGGTGGTCATCAACCCGCGGAAGGGCAGACGGTCAAGACCTGGATCTAGCACCGACGAAGAAGGGGACAAAGATGTCTTTGGTGTCTTGAAGGTTCCCTGAATGAATTGTCCAGGGGGCCTTTATGTAGCGGCTGAGATCCCATGCACGACGCGATGAGCGACTAAAATATCCGACAAAACCCAACCCAATCCCACTCCTTCCTTCCTCCATGGCGTGTCGCCGGTCGACCGGTTCAATATCTTGTCCATCCTCTCATTTCCTATTTTCCTTCTGTTAGACTTTTTCAGTTCTCAATACCCCCCGATTCAACCTTGATTTCTGCTTTAATGCTCAGAGTCATTTCGTTTGTGGCGTTCCTTTAGCAATAGTACATAGTATCGAGAGCTTTGCGGTAGTTTAGATAGGTAGTTTCCTAGGTTAATGTACTATACCTTAGGTTGTCGTATATTGGCCAGCCTACTCGTATATGATTCATGGTTATCCGCCAATTATCCATAAGAGCTCTGACGGTATTCTCAATAACTATCTTAGGATACAATTGCTTTATGCGAGAGGAGGTAAGAGGAATGGCTCATTCAAACTGAGACTATTAGTTGCAGTATATTTACTAGATTGCCATGTAATGATCCTGAAGCGAGTATACATAAAACGGACTGCCACCAGAAGTAAGAGCCATGGAAACGTCTCGATGATATAACAATCACCTGTTCCACTCGCGACATAGTCAACTTACTTCGGCTTCACGAAAATCGAGGGTCGAAAACTCCACCACAATAACGCCATAAACTAAGCCCAGCAAGACCGGGGGAAAAAGCCATTGGTGAAAGAAAAGCCGTGGCATACCGAAGCGGCGGGGATATTGTGTAAAACCAGACAATGGACTCCAGTTGGAAAATTTCAAACGTCGTCCAACCTGCCGGCTGGTTCATCTCCGTCGGATTCATAGCTACCGGCGGAGCTCAACTCATCCTCAGACTCTGTATCTTCGCCGCCGTCGTCTACGGCCTCTTTGCTGGCGTATTTTGCCACGTACTCTATAAAAGCCGTCAACACCGAACAGTATGTGGCCAACTGCCGCGCGACAGAAACCCACCTTTCACTTTCGCTTCGTAGCTCTTAGGTTCCCTCATCAACAATGCAGCCGCCTCGCCGTTGAGCGGGTCCGAAGGATTGGGATAGCGCAGCAGTTGTGGAAGGAAGACTTCGAAAATGTTTATCATATCGTACATTGGAGACCAGGTTTGGTTTATGACGTCTAGACAAACGGACCCCGACCTAGTGAAAAAGGGCATTAGCGACGTAACGAGGTTCATCCGGAGTTCACTTACAATTCGTCGATGTTGGGATGGAAGATGCGATTCACAAAGCCAATGCTTGGGCTCTTATATGGGTATTGATCTGGTAGCTCGACATGGATCTTCCAGTGACCGCCAGCGAAGGGTGCTAGAAGGTATGGTGTCAGCAGGGCAGGCTGGTAGTTCTCATGTAGATCAGCGACGTACTCTCCTCTGGACCCTTGAAGCGGACGTAGAATTCTTGCCTAGAACGGTCCATTAGGTCAAAGCTCACTCCGAGTAACATACGGTACCTGATCGTACACTGATTCAACGGTCAGCTCTGGTTACTGACGCAGCGGATATGCCCAACCACTCACTATTATCATTGACTAGTGTCACTTCATAGTCACTCATCAACCTAGAAAGCACCATCAGTGTCCAGCCCGTAGTCTTCAATCTCTCGCTGTGCGCGCCGTCGGTAGCCGCGGAGTTCGTTTAGCTGTTGCATGGGAAAGAGGGCATACATCCTGCCGACTGGTCAGTCACGAGCGAGGGCAGAAGTTGAGTCAAGGTATAAGATCGTACTTCATAACCTGCACAAAGGAAAGGGTTCAATGTTAACTCGTGGTGCCAACTCATCCGCCGATCCGTAACCGGAGGGTACTCACATCTGTCTCAATTCTCCGCTTAGGGGAACTCATTTTGAGATTGTAACAAGGCTCGGTGACTGCGAAAGAGAGTAAAGCTGTAAAGCGACAGCGGTAATGCAAGGATCTAGGGAATGTTGCGTGACCAGGCTCTTCACGCGATCTCCAACTCGGGGGCGGGGAAGTCGAGAACAGGGTGGCAACGGGGCCGATAGAGTGGCAGACGTTATGAGAGGAGGGTTGATGATAAGGCAGCACTGCGTGGTCTAGAAGACTGTAGAAGGTATATGTGCAGTTGAAGAAAGAAGGTAAGTTGATAAGGAAGAAGGAGGGGGAAAGTGAAAGAGGGGAAAGGGAAGACACGACAGGAATGAATGAAGTGTAAGGTAACCTAAGGATGCAGGGTTGGGCGTTTGGGGAGGCCCAGAGGAAGGGCCCGTTTGGCTCTGACCTGCCCGGTAACGTCCCCGAGTCGGCAGCAAGTCAGGCCCGGCGGTCACTCGTCACGACCAACAAGGTACTGATGGGAAGATCAGCTGCCAACGACATCGACTTCTCTACAGAGGATGCTATTTATTTTACAAACGGAAGGTAGATATATCAAAGCTTTGAGTGCTGTTGGTTTCCCTTCCAAAAAGGATGGGGTTTCAGTGCAGATTCGCAAATGTTGCCCTTAACATAAGCTACATACTCTGGTGATCTCACAATCCATGATCGTCATTATGCGGGCCTCGGCGGGGTTCTTCATCAAAGGCAGCTGAGCACTTGCTCGCAGCACAACCCGGGTGCAAAAAAGATAGTCGCACCCGGGATCGAACCGGGAACCTTCACGGTAATCACTGATAAGTGATGTGAACGAGATGTTATAACCATTAAACCATGCGACTATTTGTTGAAGGTAAAGTTAAAATTTTATGCTCTATATACAAGTTAAACGATTGCCTACAGAATCATGCAGGCGCAATACCATCAAGGCTGAGGATTTTAAGCTAAATATTACCTTTAACATTTACTTTAATTATATAAAGGGCTACTAGACAGATGCTCCACTGCTACCAGGAGGTTAAGGTTGCAGTACCATCCCTCCCTTACGCTGAGCTGAGCATAGAACCGTGATTGACACCCCATGCCTCAGGCTGCATACGACCATCACGAATTCACCAGCCCAGGCACCTCAGGCTTTCCAAGTTGTCGGACATCAACTCCAAATATTGTAGTTCCGGAGGCTTCCTCAAACTTCTCAAAAGAGACCAGGCATAGCCTGAGTCTATTAGATCTCACCGACTCACGGCTCTATCTTCATAATGACATCCCCTTCTTCCCAAATCCCGTCAACTCACGACTCTCCGAACCACAGCCAACGCCGACCACCCAGCCGGAGAGAAACACCAGAACAGCCACCCAACAACAGAAACGCAACCATTCCCGATGACGAGCATGGAGCTGATCTACCACTGACGATGTCCGCGTCGGTGGTACTAACCAGTTTACCGCGCGATGCTCACCAAGCACTGGCAGATGCCGAAGCTATCGACACAGGAAAAGGTATTGTACACCCCCATTCACAGACCCCGTTTCCTTCCTCCAGGATTTTCCATATTAGCACCAGACCTCTTGTATCGCATCTGTTCTTGTTCCTCCGTTACTTCTTGAATAACTGTCCCCAGGGAAGTTTATACGCCCTCATGGACTAACTCGATCAACAGTCACCGTCCGATTCCAGCCTCTGGCATCTGCTCCCATTCTCAAAACCCGGGTGTTCAAGATCAGCGCCTCACAGAAGTTTGAAACTGTCGTCAGCTCTTTGAGGAAGAAGCTGGGTTGCAAGCCCACGGACTCCGTCTTTTGCTACGTCAATAGTGTCTTCGCACCCGGACTGGACGAAGGTGTAGGCGGGTTATGGAGGGTAAGTGTTCTTGATATGGGCCAGGACGTTCATCTAATCGGGCTACGCGACAGTGCTTTAAGACCGATGATCAGTTGATCGTCGCTTACTCTATGACTCCCGCTTTTGGTTGAGGCGGAGAGGGAATACTGACTTGTTGATACTGACGTAGAAAGATCAGTCCTGGTGGCCTAACCTGCGTGTGCTGTGAATGCATCGAGAGGCGGGTCGTTAAAGCGACGGTTCGGGGAGAGGATGATGGGGGCACCAGACGGCATTTATCGGTATTAGAAGGCATGGGCATTGGAAGGCAGCGGGCTCAATATTGCTATGCGGGCCGGTTATCACTGGCCCTGCAACACGCATGTTCTCAGAAGCTACATAGTGGCAAGCCGAGCTCACTAAACGAGCAAGCAGATGGAACGCCGGTAGACCATTCTCAAGACGTTCCTGTAGATGGCGGAAAGACGAAGGATGGAAGACAGCTTTGGACGCTTAGCTCGCTGAATGAGCAGCATCGACACCCAAGTATCTACATGGCGAGAATGAGGACGCGATCTTATAGTTTCAGTATCCTTACGGGGCGACATTACTGGGTCTTTCAGGTATGAACCTCATTGCTTATCAGTGATGTATAGTACACTTCAACTCTTAGCGCCGTAAACAGAGCAGTCTCGGGTCGTTAATCAAATCTTTCATATCTCACACCGACGGCAGACTGGGCTCCGTCGGGATAAGCCACGTGACAGATGCAAATGAATACCATATCCAGTGACCAAGTAAGTGATTAATGGGGATGCTCAAGGGATTCCCAGATTGAATAGAGTATGGGGTATCAATGTAAAGAAGTTGGAAGAACCCTTGGCCTTCCGTGTGAAAATGACGCCTTTCCGATCCCAGTCGTAGACCGTACAACCTTCATTAACATTACCGAAACCTCCAGTTGTCCCACTCGTCGTCAATATCATCCTCATCCTCATCTTCGTTTTCTTCATCTTGATCGTTAGCCGATGTGTCGTCCGCTGCGTGCGCTGTTGGCTCAGGAGGGACAACCGCAGGGGACGCAGACTCGTCCATATCTGAGCTCTCCGCCCCCCGCTTCGCTCTCAGCTGCTCGCGCATTTGCTTCAACCGCCTCACCCGCTCCTCTAACTGCTCCATTTCATCAAATTCTTCTTCCAAAAAACGAGCTGCATCTTCCCGTTCGCCCTCTGCCTCCGCCTCCCGGTTCCGCCTCATAGTCTCCTTCTCCCTCTCCTGCAGCGCAGCAAGTTCCTCCGTAGAAATCGGCGCCGCCGATATCGTCGCACCCGCCGCAACAGCTGCAGGTTTCTGCGGAGCACGAGTCGGCGCAACGACTTCACGCTCAAACGCCGCCCACTCGTCCTCATCAATGGTTTGATTTGTCACCACAGCAGGCTCAGCCGGAGGTATAGAAGGTGTTTCTAGCGTCTCTGTGGTCGTCCCAGTGGGTTCTTCTGTGATTTCGGCCTGAGTCGGAGTATCAGTCTTCATGACATCCTGCGGCAAGGTCCCGACGTCATCCTCCTCTTCTTCGGCGATGAGCTGTGCGCTCGGAGGGCGTATCTGCGTATTTGCATGCGGTTGCTCAGAACTTGCGTGTCTGACCTTTTTGCGCGTATGTGAGTCCGTCGGGTCTACTTTTCTCTTCTTTGTGATGCGGTTCGGCGTGCTGCTCCCGGTCTGCGGCGAGCCCCTGCGGGAAGCAAGCTCATTTCGGAGCATGGATCGGACGTCGGCCATCTGGGGTAGATTTAGCTGTTACTGAAGTAGGGCGGTCTATTTGATCGAGCAACTGGTAAATGTTGTGAGCTTGAAACGTATATTGGTGCAGAGTTGCGTATATGATATGCGGGGATTCTGGAGAAGCTGGTCAAAAGGCTCCGAAAAAATAACGCGACGGGAGACAGGGCTGGCGTCTGCCAAGCCTTCTCCGAACCTCTGTCACGTGGAACAAATGGACTCGAGTCCCCTTACTTCATCGGTAATCTTCATTATTACCGGGATTTCAAAGATTACGTCAAGGACATACTCTGAAGTCAAACGACGGGAAAAGTCATCTTGATAGCGGATTATATACTTAGTACATGGGTTTGGTTTATTAGGATCACATACAAAGCTAAGCAGCGACTTCTCTCGGTCATATACATCATATACAACCAACCCAGGCGATTGCAGCATTGACTCGAGGTCAATAGTGCATGATTCCACTTCCGACCTTCATGGCCTCTTCAATCTCTGCTTCTCCCTCCTGTAGGAGATGCTTACCATGAGCGAGCTCGCGTTTTCGCCTTCGTTCGTCCTCCTTGACCTGCTTCTGCCTTTCCGCAAGGGCCTTTTCGCGCTTCTCACGCTCCACCCTCTTCTTTTCCAACTCTTCTCTTTGCTCGGGAGTTATGTCCTCCTCCTCGGGCGGGGCAGGTAATGTAGCGATGTACGTCTCTATTAATGGGTCGCGCACCTTAGGTGAAAGAGCAATGTACCGCAGGTCGGTTATGATGCTCGGCGGTAGGACTTCAAGGTTAGACGATCGGTTCAACTCGTGCAACGGGATCGACTTAAGTAGTGCGGAAAGGTCGGACTTTCGGGTGCTCTCAGGTTGTTTCATTCGGGAAACTAGGTCGCGGTAGAACTTCTCTCGATCTTTGTCTGATAACTGAGAGTCTTTCATCTCCGGCTCTTTCCTATACTTTCGCTTGAACTCAGGCCAATACAACTTGGGCGTTGCGTGATCTTGGAGGAAAGCGAGATATTTAATACGTGGATCCCTTTTCTCCTGCTTTTCCTTGCGCTCTTTGATCTCTTGGATTCGTTGACGACTCCAGTTAGACCATACCTCGCGGCGCGCTTTCATGTTGGGGAGGACAGTGTAGCGGCTATCGTCAATTATACGGCCCTCTTCAATGATTTTCTCCCACGTGGAAAATGGGTTAATGTTGTAGTCATCGAGGAGGTCACGGAATAAAGCTGTAGCATCCTCGTCTGTAAGCGGCAGGCCTTCGGCGCCCTCTTCCCAGCCCTCTTCTCCAGGCTCGCCATATTCACCGGGGTCAAGGCCGTATTCTTCTCCCATTGCCGCTAGTTGATATTCGATATCCTCTTCGGTAAATTCAACAGGCTGCTGGTTGCCTTCACTGTCCGTCCTTGGTCGCTTGAATGGGTGGCTTTCGTCCTCCCCTTCGCTGTCCGTGACCTCGACTTCCTCATATTCGTCGCTCTCTTCGTCCGCATCCCCAATTGCCCGCTCTTGCCCTTCAGCAACGTCGGTAGCCGGCGTCCGCTTCTCTTCCTCCGGTTCACCTCGTTCCAGTCGTTCTTTCTTTTCCCTTTCGAGGCGGTCGAATTCAACAACCCCCTTCAAGACCTCCGTCGGGATCTTCCAGAAACTTTCATTTGTTTCTGGGTTATGGACAAACCTCCTTCCTAGTTTTGTTTTCACGAGGACCCAGGGCTCACATCCAGGTATGGCATGTTTTGATTTCGGTCGATCCTCGGGTCCTCGCTGGCGGCGGTCGTGGTAGGACTTCCCGCCGCGGAATCCACCTCGCGCCTGGTTGTACCCCGGAGCACCGAATGAAGAGGCGCCGTATCCGTGCGGCGCATATGGTGTTGAGGAGAACGGTGGTAGCGTATCGGGCGTGAGAAACGAGGCACTGGCGGCAGAATCGTGTACCGGGGCCGTGGGAGGGGGCTGCACTGTAATCGGCTGGGGCCTAGTATAAGTCGATTGCTTGGTCTGTGAGTTATAGTAATATGTGTGGCCTGCAGTGCCATTTGTCAGTTAGCTTGATCCAGAAGTCCTGTGTACGCACTAACCTGTTGGCGCTTTGTGCTCGGTCCACCCAGGGGGTAGCGGAGGAGGAGGGGTATAAGTAGATTTAAGCATTATAATTGAAATATCAAACCTCTGTCAAGCAAATTATCATGAAGGGTTTCCAGGATCGTCCGTCAGTTCGCGCGGGAGATTACTGAAGCTTTCCG